TCCATGTCCCCAAAAATAAACATTCTCATCACTCAGATAATAAAATGGCAGGGTCGTATCAAAACCAAAAGTGACATTGACACTGATGTAAAACGTAGATGCTGTTAAAGTAGAGTTAAAAATCATCTTTCATTAGTGATTCATAATGCACCCTGATGGCAAAAATCATAGAAGTTCTATGCTGCAATAAATAAATAACCATAGAAATCAAAAGCTCTGGAGAAATGTTTTCAGTAATGATGACAGTGGATTTACAACAGGTAAAATGTAGGTGAATGTTGATAAAAGGCATTGGTACAACATAGGGTATGACAAACAATTTACAGAAAACATATTTGGTCAACAAATATTCCCCATAGGGCCAGGCACAGTGGCTCATGCCTATAATCCCAGCACTGTGGGAGGCTGAGGCAAGAGGATTGCTTGAGCCAAGGAGCTCAAGACCACCCTGGGGAACATAGAGAGAGCCCATCTTTACAAAAAAAAAAAATACACACCGAATACCACCCCAGATATTCTTCAGGTATTACTATATGTATAGTTTTAAGACTGAGGAGCAACTGTCAGACTAGAACAAAAGATGGAAGTTTCCAGAAAAAAAGAAAGAAAAATGGAACTGTGAGATTACGTGGCATATCTGACCCCGTAGAAAATTGTGTCAATTGGCACAGTACAAACTAAGAAAACACAAAAACAAAGCAAGGGTTTGCCCCAGAAAAAGCAAAAAGGGGAACAAGAAAGAAAATGAACTGATATGCCTTGCTTTAGCAGTGAACTATATTTATATAACTATAATAAGTAAACACCAAATAACTTCTTAAACTCAAATGAGAGAATATTTATCCTGGGACAGTGTGGAAAGGAGTGGAAGGTGATGGTGGTACAGGACTGCCAAGTCCTCAGTTCTCAGTGTCAACAAACACAGTCTAAAATTAGTACACCAAAAATAAAATTGCAAATATGCCAATCGTAAGGAAATAATGAGAATTCTAGAGGAAATAACTCAAAGCAGTACCAGAGGATGGGAAGAATGAAAAGAGGAAAGCATTACAAATGAAAATCAAGCAAAAAGAGAAACTAACTTAGGTCACACCAAACATTTTCATGTCAACTCAGCAGGAACTGATAGATGTCATATTAATAAATTACCAGGTTGACCAAGGTAAAATAAGGATTTATCGGTTAAGAGAAACCAATGGAGGGGAAAAATGAAAGGTCACATGTTGAACATTCAAATGCTACTTATAGTCAGGCAAAGTATACCTAAGTAAAGTAATATTTAAACTAAATCTCTGCCCTTGGCCCTCCCCCTGTTGACTTTACATTCTCTCCCCAATTAACAGTATCCAGGTCGACAGCCTCCCTCACCCGGACTCCAGTCCAGGCTGCCTGGATGGACCTGCAGCTTGCCTACGTGGTTTTCACTTGGGTCAAGATATCTCCCACTCTGCACCCAGCCTAGAAGTCCACTGTCTCCCCACACTTGTGCTCCCTTCCAGCGCTCCAGGACAGCAGTGACTGTAAGCGCCTTTCCAGCTCAGAGCCAGGATCCCAGTTTCAGAGCTAGACACCTCTGAGCAGAGACAGGAAAGCTCACGTACTCCTCAGTAATCTAGTCATTATCACCTTCTTAACTGTCTTTTCTTGTTCCACCACCATCTGCCTTTGGCCAGCTGCCAGGAATCAACACGTGGTTTCCCAGAAAGAAAAGAATCAAGGGAGTCATTTTTGATTTGTTAAACTTACTATAACCTAAACAAAATATGCTGATTTTGGGTATCTTTGGTCTTGGCTAAATTCAACTGTCTTTAAGATTCCAGTTTAACCACCTTTTAAGAGACATAGGGCAAAACTTACACAAGTGGATTCATAAAGGAAAAAATTTCAAATGGATTAAAGGTAATATTTGGTCAGATAAAATTATAAGCAAATAGAAAATTTCCCGGATAACAACATATCAAAATGAATTAACTTTCCTAAAATCCAGTCAGACTAGTTCTTAAAATATCTTCCCACAATCCTTCAGTAGAAAAACCTTTTTTCCTAGGGTTCAAATCCAACCTGTCCAAGTCTAAGTAGTAGAGGATAAGAAACAAATCAGGCAATCTGATTACAATCTCTCATTAGGACTCTGCCTTCTGATTTTAGTTCTTTAGAAGAAAAAGTAATGTTCAACATGTAGCCTTTTGAAACAAATTCTACCCCAAAGGCCTAAATTTTTGTTTTTTCTCCACTAAACCAGTCCAGAAGTTGTGGAAAATGTTAAAACCTGCAAAGCAAGAGTAGAAAAGTCAGGGGGTAGTTGGAAAAAACGTCTACACAGGGAAAGTTGAGAAAGTAAAAATTAGCCATCACTTAGGTGTAGATAACTGACACAAACCCAGCTGGTTGCAAAGTTAACAGCAAATAATATTTCTTCCATGGACAGACTGCAGCTGTAAAGGGTGACAGTAAGCCCTTTTGTGAGTAACTTCTCTCTTTCTCTAAAATTGCAGACTGTCAGAAACTCTGCCGTTTGAAATTATATTACAAAGATGAAACATCCGCTCTTACTTGAAGGACCTTTATTTTGATCGATATGATTGAAAATTCAGTAAAATCTTGCTATTTTAGACTCCCTTAAGGGAGAGGAACTGCCCTTCTAATTACTGGAAAGTGTGAAGTATTGAGCAATATGAATGCACTTTGCTTTCAAAAGCAAACCATAGTTCAGTGGAGGCTAATACAGACTCAGTACATCATCTCCGCTCTAAAAAGCTCTGAAAACAAGCCTTTTTTTTTTTTTTTTTTTTTTTTTTTTTTTGGTGAATTTTAGAGAAGCTCTTGTAGTGATAACACCTGCTCTAAACAGACACACAGCTATTTATAGTCTTCATTTATTCCACTTAGTGAGAATATGCATGTTGTTAAATGTGAAAGTGCAGAAATATTAATGCATGGAATTACAGGATTCTCTCCAGACTACACTGGAATGGCAAGTAATCGGCAGCATCAACATGCATGTTTACCTCCCTAAATTCTGAGCCATGTCTTTCTCAATCCTAAAATCTAGATTCTATATTTTAATTCCAAATTCTGAAAAAGCTTGAATTCCAAAATACACTTTGGCACAAGCATTCTGGATAATAACCACGGGCAAACAATGTGCTAAATAAGTGAAGTTCTACTCAGAAGTCTTCAGTTTAAAAAACAGAGTGATTAGACCTGCATTTAGAATATAAATGGCGGCCTAACAAAGATCAAGGTGAATCATTTCTCAAGTGCAAATCTAGCAATAAAATAATGTTTCTACCAATTTCATCTCTCAGGAAAGGTAAAGACCTAAAGTATATACCCCATCTTTATCCTAGCTTAAAGCATTCTGGTTATTAAGACTATTCTAAAATCCTATTTTATATTTCACTTCAAATACAGAGGCTTTTAAGAAAAATCTTCCCACAATCCCTCAATAGAAAAAATCTCTTTTTTCCTAGTGTTCAAATCCAACCTGTTCAAATCCAAGGAAGAAGAGTAAGAGGATAAGACACAAATCAAGCAATTTGATTATAATCTCTCATTCAAATACACTTCAAAGTGCACTTCAAATACAGGGGGTAAGACAAATAAGTTTCTGTTTTAATGCAAGATTTTTATAAATACATTAAAAGTGCCATTCAGGTAGAACAAAATGATTTGATAAAATAATTTTTACTGACAAAGATTTCTCACTTAAAACACTTAATAATTTACATGTATTTAAGTCTTTTAGCTCAAATGTAATTCTATCTATGCACTGCTCGGACTTTCATTGGGGAGAAGGACATCAATGTATTCAGTTGCATTCAGTTAAAATGCTCCCTGTGTAAAGGCAATGAATTTGTCCCTACTAAGACGAAGTCAGATGCTAGAATCAATTCAATTTCTTCCAGGAACTCTCAGGGATTAAATGATTCCTTTTTTATTTTTTAATATGAAGAATCAGATATGGCATATCTCCAACTCCTTGTTTTACTACAGCCTGCAATGCTTTGAAGGTTAAAAAAAAGAAGAAAAAGAAAAACTTCCAGTCAACAGTTCTACTCGAGTTCAACTCAATCTTTGGTAAGTCAGGCAAAACGCATAAAATATTTTGCAACAGCGTTTCCAACGTAAAAAAAAGATTCAAACTCTCACTTCTCCAATTGTCTTTCTAGTCCCTGGACATTGAAAAAACCAAAGAATCGATCGCATTTGTAAAGTTTTCAGGTGGGCTTAAGCTTTTGGAGCTATATTGCCAAAAACAAACAAAAACAAACCCAAAAAACAAAGAATCACCCTACCTCTTAACTCAAGTTTACATTTTACTACGTAAAACTTTCTTGCTCTCCAGGTTCGTTGGCTAAGTAAATTACTTGGTAATGAAAATGTACTCACCAGAGTAATTATGCTAAATTTTAGTAGTGGTTCAGAAAGTTTGGTGTCTGAATGCAACTGCCGTTTCTTTCTGTAGTAAAACATTTGTCTCAGCTTATAAGACGTCTGGACATTTCTACATTGAGTCACTTTGATCAATACTGCGGCATTTCCCCATGGACTGGTGTAAATGGCAAAAGGACAATGTTCTAGCTCCAAGATCGAAGTCCTGGCTCTGTGCCTCATCCCAGCCTCCCGTGTCCCCGGGCGGGGCCGCGACCGCACTTTCCGCGCTCCCTGTGGGCCTGGGCGCGCCGGGGTCGGGTCACTTTCCGCAGGTTCAGACCCCTGTCCCCTCCGCCCAGGCCCGGGCCCCTCTCTCCCGGCGCAGCTTCTGGATGCCGAGCGCTGGCAGGTTCAGGAGCCAGGCTGGCGGAACCCACCATATTTATTCACGTGGTTTCGGCACTTTTCCCTCCGCGGTGAAGGCCCTGCGGGCACCTGCCCGGTGTGACTGGGCACACGAGAAAGGTAGAACAAGAAAGGGCGTGAACGCGGCGCGTCGTCCCCCGAAACCCCCTCCGCTCACCAGAAAATTCGCACCGGGGAGGCGACGCGGCCACACCTACCTGCGCCAGGTGAGGCGAGGGCGGGCGCTTGGGCGCAGCCGGGGCTCAGCCGGGGCGCAGCGGGGGCCGCCAGCTCTTCCTCGCTCTTCTGCCGCTGGGGTGGCCTCAGCCGCCGGGCCGCGGCGCTTCCTCATTTCGGGCAACTTCCTTAACGCGCCCGGGCAGGCGGCCCGCACTTCCTCCCAATGTCGCGCCCCGCCGCCTGGCCCGCCCTGCTGACCGCGCCCGTGCGCCCGGAGCTGGGCGGGCATGGGCTGGAGCGCTGGGCCGCCCGCGGGATCCGCCCAGGCGGCACCGGCAGAGGAATCCAGGTGCGGCGCGCCGCTCTCCTCCCGCCGGGCGAGGGCCCTTCGCAGGCAGGGAAGGTGGCACTGCCCGCGACCCGGACCGCAGCGGTTGCCCTCCTCCCCGCCAGCGCGGTGGCTTCTCTTACTGCCCAGGACCCACGAACACTCAGCGGCCCTTTCCATTTGCTGTGCAGCGCTGGGGTAGAGACTCCACTGCAGGGCATAGTCCCTGGAGGGGGTATCTGGGTCACCAAGCCAATGGGCTCCAAGCCATCGTGCTGGAGCACTCAGGAGGTCGGGGCAGTGCTCAGAGGGGCCGCGTAGGTGAACAACAGACTTCACGGAGCACTCGTGGGCAATGGAGCGCGCTGCTTCTGAGGGCTTATTGCTAAAGACTGCTTTCTTCGTACCACGGCGGCTCTGACGTCTACAACCAAATAAATTAAACATAATCCTTTCCTATAGTCCTAAAAATGGTGTTGACATACCTGCCTGATACCCTTCCCTCAACTCATCCTCCTTTTCCTGTTGGACATTCCTCTTTAAAGTGTTCCCACAAAAACGGTATCCAGACCTTCTTGATAAAACCGATTGGCAGTGTCTGTTTTAAAAAGCTTCACCCTGAGCCGAAATGCGAGAAGCAAAATAAAATATGTATAACGTGCTGCATTGTGATTGCCATGGAGAAATTATAGGCATGGGACTGTTTATATTTGATGGAGCCCTCAGCCTTTTCTGCTTCCAGTGTTATTAGATTTTAAATCATTTTTGCAATTAATTCTTTAAACCTGTTAAAAGAAAACTTCAGCTAAATTAGATTTAAATCAGTTTATTTGAGAAATGAATCATTTGGGAATGGGACAGCTTCCAGAATCACAGCAGATTCCGAGACTCCAGGGATGCCTCATGATCCGAACAAATTTATAGACAAAAAAAAATAGGAAGATATGAACAGAAATCAGAAGTGAGTTAGAGAAACAGCTGAATTGGTTACAAGTTGGCATTTGCCGTGTTTGAACACTTAGCAGTTTATGAGTGCTTGAAGTATGGCCGCTGGGACTGGCTAAGTCTCAGCTGTTGTTACAGGCCCTATACTCCTACTAAGTTAGATTTTCAATCTTGTCTGCCTATTAAAGCTAGGTTACAGTTCAGCCACAAGGACCCAAATATAGAAAAGTATGGAGTCCTTCTCAGGCCGTATTTAGTTTGCTTTAACAATTCCCCTTCTTTTGGTCATTTTCCCAATTCAGAGAAATTGGCCAAAACTTTAGCATTGATGTCACTATCACCATTGTAAATGTATCTATATGGTCTTGAAACCCACTGGGAAACAGTAGAATAGTGGGTTTTGCAAGGAGGGAACAGGGAGTAGTTAGAGGGTAGCTCCTTATGCTGGAACATTCTGTTTGCAGGGAAAAACAAAACCTGGTCTGTTCTGGGCACATTTAGCACAAACGACTCCATTTTGGTTTGGTTTGGTCTGTTGGGGACTAGTTCATGAGCTCAGTCCAAAACAATGGCCTCCCATAATTCTGTTTAATAAAATTCCCCCTTTTTGTTCAGGTTCTCACTTAGGTGAAAGTTTGACCAAAATATGCTGAGGAAAATCATCATGTCATTCATAGATTATGGTGTCCTCATAGTTGCATATTTCTTTCAGCTTTTGCTATTCCAGTTGAAGAAAGGCCATTTGGCATTCTAGAGATGGCTGTGTGCAAACATTTAAAACCTTTGAGAGAATGCAGTGCACCAGGGAGATTGTGACTACCAGGAGGATAATACCAAGAGTTTGGAATATGCTCCTTACCCAGGATCCCCATAAGCCAAATCACCTAAAATCAAACAAATCAAAGAATTAGCTAGATAAAGAGTGTACCTACTTAACTAGGTGGTCTTTTCATTTATCCCCTACAACTGAATCTGTATAATACCCAATGTATTTCTCCATAGACCACAAGTGCCTGTAGCCACATAGATACTTCTCTGTTTAGCCAATTCTACTATTTAGCACAACTTTCACAAAAGAATTTAAAATCTGTGTGTAACCATAGCCTTTACAATAGATCTGCTAAGGGCCTGTCATGAGAGATACATTTCTAATCATTGCCTCTTTTCCTTCAAACCATGGAAAAAGAACCTAACAAATGATGCCCCCCCCCTTTTTTTTTTTTTTGAGATGGGGTCTCACTCTGTTGCCCAGGCTGGAGTGCAGTGGTGCAATCTCCACCCATTGCACTCTGCCTCCTTGGTTCAAGCAATTTTCCTGCCTCAGCATCCTGAGTAGCTGGAATTGCAGGTGCACACCACCATGCCCAGCTAATGTCTGTATTTTTAGTAGAGATGTGGTTTCACCGTATCAGCCAAGCTTGTCTCGATCTCCTGACTTCAGGTAATCCATCTGCCTTGGCCTCCCAAAATGCTGGGATTACAGGCGTGAGCCATCACACCCAGTCAAATGATGCCTTTTAGAAGAGTGAAGGCCTTCTGGCAATGTTCTCTTTGACCCATGATGTGGGTTAAGAGAAGTGAATTACTGTTTTGTTTCTGACAGATTATTAGGCAATGTATATGCCATTAAAATTTCTCACCTGCATGGGGCCTTCATCTTTTATCTATCAAAGTATAAGGTTATCCATGTATAAGGCTGGCTGAAAAAAATCTTCACAAATAAAAGTATACCCCATAAGTACACACAACAGACCCTATTTTATTTCTATTATTCATAAACAAGGAAAAATGATTCAAAGATAAGAGTTTTATGATAGTAGAAGCCTTGATCCATGACCTTGGGAAAAGCTGCTCATACCAAGGATGCCATCTTCTTCTCAGGAGAAATTTCCCTGCTTAGCTTTACCCTAAGGGTTCCAGTGGGTATGCAGTTCCAAGAGTATGGAGGGACCTTTCTCAGTTGTGAGATTATGAGCCCAAAGTTAAAGGTCCCGAAGTTTTTCTATAGTGTGGATGGCAAGGACAGTCTTTCTCTGATGTTCTCAGAAGATCCAATCTTTGGCGTCTAGATTGTAAAAGGGTTGATTGTCCTCAGTGAACCATAAAAAGCTTTCTTTACCAGGTGAAAATACACTGTAGCATAATAATCTACTGTTATAACATCAGCCCCCTTGCATGGGAGAGCTTTTATACAACCAAAAACATGCACTGAAAATGACAATTGAATAGAAATCCCTTTATAAAATGTTTAAACGGCCCATCAGGTAACCAAATATACCTGAAGCTTTGATTGTCTTCCCAGGAATATGAATGTAACACACCAAACATTGGTTATAAACTTTATTAAGTCACCACATCGATATATTTGATTTGAATTATTTTATCTTTTCCATGGTGAGTCATGGATTGCAGAACGTTTAATAACAATAAGGACTCTGGAAAGACAAGGTAGCTGTCTGGGTTCTCCATGAGTCCATGCTTAACACTGGACTTCTGTCCTCTCAAATACCAGTTGTTTCTCCAAATTAGGTGCATAGCACTGGTAACTGATGGGTTATCATAGGTAATTTAACTTAGACCATGGAGTTCATTAAAATTGTATATCTAAACAGTTTTAGTATTCACTCATTTAGCATGAAAATCTGGCATGGAATTGTCTTGGTATTTAATTAATTTTTGTTCTACTTGGGTTAGCAGTTTTATAAGCCAGTCAGTCTTTTTATGAAAGTTTCAGGAATTCTTACACAGTTTAATTCTTGTGAAATTAGGGAATTCTCACCCATGATATGATGTTAAAGTAATTAGAAACTTGTATTCAAGAGTGCTTTTCAGGGTCCTTTCCATCCTTTCATGAACCTCCTAAAAGATGCCATATTCTAGGATTTTGCATGCTTGTGAAGTTTCCAGAAACTGCATCAGTATTATGCAATTAACTGTGGAAATGACTTTAAATAATCATAGTTAAAGACATAATTGATAAGGAAACTTGGTCATTTCTGTGGTCTACAATAACAACATATTAATAATAACTATAATAATGATTGATAGCATTTACTGAGACACATAAGAAGTTTAGAAATCCCACACAATTTTGGAACATATTGATAACATATACTAAAATATAATCTGAAGAAGGTTAAACATTATCCTTTATTATGACAATGCTTCCCATGTAAATGAACATGTCAAACAGCTCTATTTACCTCTTTTGGATGTTTCAGGGACCCTCTGCAGCCTCCCAAAGTTACAGGTCACAAAAGACAATTTTGAAGCTGAAATTTTACTTTGGAAAGCATGTTAAATATGTTAAATGTTTTAAACACTTGATATTATGAAGTAGAATTACAGGTTGCGATGTCATTCATTTAGTCAAAATGATGACTCAAAAATTTTTAAAAGGCAAAATCTTTACTGAATGATAGAGGCAAGACTTAGCTTTCCAAACAATGTCTCTTATCTTTCACTTCTTTTTTCAGTAATTTATTCAAAATACAAACAAAAAAATCTGTTATTATCCTTTCATATTATAGGAAAATCTTGCTCAAGAAAGAAAACCAAATTTCACCACCGTATTAGTGTTCTGTTAATGTCAACCCCAATTTTTTTTTTTTGAGACAGAGTCTTGCTGTGTCACCCAGGCTGGAGTGCAGTGATATGATCTCAGCTCACTGCAACCTGTGCCTCTTGGGTTCAAGTGATTCTCCTGCCTCAGCCTCCCAAGTAGGTGGGACTACAGGTGCGTGCCACCGCACCTGGCTAATTTTTGTATTTTTAGTAGAGATGGGGTTTTGCCATGTTAGCTAAGCTGGTCTTCAACTCCTGAGCTCAAGTGATCCATCCGCCTTGGCCTCCCAAAATTCTGGGATTACAGGCATGAGCCACATGCCCAGCCCCAATTTTT